GCCAATACATTGTAACAGAACATAAGGAACACAATGAAAGCAGTCCTAGGAGGGAAATTTACAGCACTGAATACCTATAGCTGAAAAACAGAGCAAGCTCAAATAACCTACTGTTGAACCTCAAGCTTTTAGATCAAGGGCAGGTCATGCCTAAAGCTTGTAAAAAGGAGGATGTTATAGAGAACAGAGCAGAAGTTAAAGCAATGGAGACTAACAAAATAATACAAAGAATCAATGAAACAAAGAGTTCTGTGTTACATTAAATGAACTTGACAAACTCTCAGCCAACCTTATTAAAAACAAAAAAGACCCAAACACATACAATTGGGAATCAAAAGGTGGAAATCACAAGAAGCCCTACAGATATTCAGAAGATCCTCAAAACCAAACCTACTTTCAGAATGTGTATTGTAAGATAGAAAACAAAGAAGAAATAGACAGATTCCTAGTTACATATGAATTACCACAGCTGAATCAAGAAGGTATAAAAATTCTAAATAAATCAGTATCTGTCAGTGAAAGTGAAGATGTAATTAAAAACCCATCAATAAAGAAAACCCTAGGCCCTGACAGATTCACTGCTGAACACCACAAGAAATTTAGAGAAAACCTAATACTACTACTTCAGTCTCTTTTAAGAAATTGAAAGAGAAGCCATACTCCCAAATTTATTCCTGGAAGCATGTATTATCCTGATACCAAAACCAGAAAGGAATCCAATCAATCCTTGACTGCAAATTATACTACAAAGTTATTGTGATAAAAACTGGCAAAACAAAACAAAACAAAACAAAACAACCAGACTCAAGGATCAATGGAACAGATTTTAAGATGTAGAAACAACTCCAGCATACTCAATCATCTTATCTTTGACAAAGGAGCCAAACATATTCACTGGAAGAAAGATAGCTTCTTTAAGAAATGGTGCTGGAAAAAACTGGCTTTCCACATGCCAAAGATTACAACTAGACCCATATCCCTTCCCAGGCATTAAGCTAAAATCCAAATAGCTCAAAGACTTCAATATGAAAATAGAAACAACTCCAATCTGCTGGAAGACAGGTAGAACTGAAGACTTTGGTATAGGCAAAGATCTCATGGAAAAAAACCCCAATTGCAAAGCTTCTATCAGAAATAATCAACAACTTGGACTGCATCTTATTCAAAATCTTTTGAAAAGCAAGAGAAACTACCAAGAGAGTGAAGAGACAACCCACGCGATGGTAAAACATTTTTGCCAGCTGTTCCTCAGACAAAGGATTAATGCCTAAAATATATAAGGAGCTCAAAAATACAGAACCACCCCCAAATTCAAAAAATGGGCATCAAAAATGAACAGACCCTTCTCAGATGAAGAAGTAGAAATGCTAAAGAAATACATGAAATACATGATAAGGGGCTGGGCATTTAGCTCAGTGGCAAAAGCACCTGCCTTGCAAGCAGGTAGTCGTGAGTTCGATCTCTGGTACCTCTCTCACTAAGTCACCTCTCCCATTAAATAGGCACCAGAAAAGCTAACATAAAAGAATAAACAATGGGGGCTGGGGATTTAGCTCAGCAGCATAAGTGCCTGCCTTGAAGCAGGTGGTCATGAGTTCGAGCCCTGGTACCAGTTTAAAAAAAAAAAAAAAAAAAAAAAAGAATGAACAGTGTCAGGGGTAAAGATGATATGCGCACTGACTTCTCACATGCTGTTGGTGTCAGTACAATGCCACTTTTAGCAATATCTCTTAAGGCTGAACAAATGCATGGGATATCTATCACTCCACAGTTCTCTGCTTTTTTTTTTTTTTTTTTTTTTTTTTTAAGGATCCGAGGGCCAGGGATATAGCTTAGTGGCACAACTCCTGTTTGGCAACACAACGTCCTGAGTTCAAGTCCCATTACCTCCCCCCAAAAAAAGACAGGTTCTCAGTATAAAGCCCAAGAGGGGCGCAAACTCGCAGTCTTCTTGCCTCAACATTCTGCCCTGCTGAGTTTATAGGCATATGCCGCCATGCTCAGCCATAGCTTCACTCTCATACACAAAAGAAATAATACACAAGAATACTCAGGATAGAATTGATAAAAACTGGAATCAACCTGAATGTTCATGAATAGAAAAGAACAAATTTTGATATATTGGTATGCTGGATTACCAAACAACAGATGAGAATAGGCAAAAAATATAGGACACAGGTAAATCTCATGAACAATGAAACAACCAAGAAACACAATATAGGTACTATTTTACTTCATTTAGTCAAGAAGAAGCAAAAATAATCAATGGTGAGAGATCAAGACCATTGTTAGAATTGGAGGAAAGGTACAAGGATTCCTCATTTAACCACCAAGTCCTATTCCTGTCAGTACAGCGTTAAAAGAATTAGTTGCTAAATGAGGAGCTGTATATAGTACATACATTACAACACTCAGCACAAAGAAATGGTCAAAGGAAACTCCAACTTGATGACTGTGCCTTTATTTGCACAACTTCTATGCAGTATATAATGTACAACAGAACATGAAACTACAGTACCATAGAGTACCATCAGAAAAAGTATAGTACTGTATAAACATTACAAACTAAAAAAAAAAAACAAAAAAACAAAAAAACAAAAACAAACCATTGAGAGTCTCTGAACCAGATGTGCAGAACTTTACAAAAAATAAAAAAAGAGGAGGCATAAGTCTGAGCAGCAGGGAAGTCCAAACAGTTGTTAAGCAGGTAATTAAATGAGAAACACCTGTACTGGAAACTAGGCAGGGGCTTCCAGTGTTTCATTTTGATGTAGGAACTGTTTCTCAAGTGTGTTGGCTCTATGGAAAATTCGCTGAGAAGATTTCTGATATTTGCTATAGTTGGGGGCCTTCATTCTGAGGAGCATTCTCTGCTCTCTTTTTATTTTTTATTTAAGACAACTGCTAAGTTTCTCAGGCTGGGCTCAAATTTCTGATCCTCCTGCCTTGGCCTCCCTAAGGGTTGAAGATTCCAGGAATGCACTACCATGCCCAGCCTTTTACTTCAATTTTTAGAAGTAGGGCACATTCTGACCTGCCTACCTAATGTGCCAAAAGTACACCGGGCACTTACTTGACAGGCCTCTCTAGTCAAACAACTACCAAAGATGAGCCTGATTCCAGGAAAGGAAAAGGACCAAAACAAGTTTGTTTCATGGTTTCTGTGCTTTCTGAAATGCTGCATCAGGTGCTCAGATGGTGACGGGACCTGGTGGCATCATCACATTATGCACTAAACTAAGCATTTCCAGGCTGCTACACTGAGAACCCCCCAGAAACAAATCACCAGGCAACCACCTCATCAGCAGGTGTGACAACACCCACTGCCTGAAACCAACTCTACAAAACTCCTGTCACTTCCCTCTCAGGTCCTGCCTGCCTGTTTTTTCCAAAAACTGAATAGATTAACTATGTATTAGATAAACTGTAGATCTATCTCAAATTATAGTCAATATATTACAAAAACAAAACTAAACCATCACAAATTTACAAATACCTGTATATACTATAAAATCCTTCACATAAACTGCTCCCCATTACCTCCCTACACAAATACAAGTTGGCCAGTTCTTATAATCTTCTATAGTAAAATCTGACCTAAATAAACTCTGACATTTATAAGATTCCAATGAGAAAAATCTTAATGTGACTAGGAGGGATGGAGCTCAGTGACAGAGCACTTAGGCAAACACAAATGAAGCCCTCCTTCAACCCTATGCTCCACAAAAGCAAACAATTTACTGATTCTCTAACCAACAAAAGAAACATATAGCACTAACATCAAATTATTGTTTCTAAAAAGGAAATTCAAATGCTTGGCTTAATCTTTCAGGAGAATTGACTATAGCCAACAAATACATTAGGGCTAGTGTTCATTTGCCGATTTATCACTGCAGACTCATCATGACAGCATAGATGTATGCTTATTCAGGTCTACCTGAATGGACCAGAAAGGCAACTATTATGAACAAGTAAAATGGTACTCGATGGCTTATAAACACCTAAATAATAAGCTACTTATCTCCCACTATGCTGTGTACCATTTACCTTACATTTTTCTAGTTTTACTATGTTCTCCCTTCGCATGCCATTCAGTCTCCATTTAATTCCACAAGAGGCAGTTTTGAGATACTGGGCTGAATGTAATATAATTAAAGAAAGAACTACAGTTGTTTCCAACTTTGAGGTGGTTTTTACTTTTATATATTTGTTTTTGGTACTGGGGATCAAACTCATGACTTTATGCTTGCCAGGCAGAAGCTTATGCTGCTGAACTAAATCCCCAGCCCAGTTGTTTTAAACTTAGAAGTCTATTCTAAAAGGAGAAAGTTTCTAAAGAATAAATTTCCAGTTTTCTATCCCTTATTACAAATGTGATTTACAAACACCGGTATTCTGTAAAGATAGTCTGTAAAAATTTTTCTCTGTGAAATCAATCCTTGTCTACCAAATTTCAAGGGCTAGAGATAATATCTCAGCAGCAACAAGCATCTGCTTGGCAAGAGCAAGGTCCTCAGTTCGATTCCTGATACCAAAAACAAAACAAAAAAAAATTATTATCTACTAAATTTCATTAGAAAACTGCAAATCCTTGAGATACAATCCTAAACACACATACAATTCCTGAGATACAAGCCATGGGAAGCCTACATTAAGCAAGAGATCTCACAAAACAGAATCAAAGAAACCAAGGACCATGCCGCTTGGTTGTTGTTTCAAGTCTTTTTAAAAAACCTTCAAAGTGCATTCCCAAATCTTTAGCAGTTCCTCAGTGAAGAGTGAAAGTAGTAAGATATTTTCACATGACTTTACAGAACACTAGTTTGTTTGCCCTAAGTAGCTGAATCCCCAGGAACTCTGCATGCGCTTACAAACACTAGGAACTATCATTTGACAAGTGGTTGGTTACACAAAATATACAGGTACAAAAACAAAAGATGGTACCACAGAAAGACACGTAACAGAAAAAACCTGTAGTTTCAGGTGAAAACCACACATACCTGTGGAAGCGCAGTATTGAGTTGTCTCTGCAACGAATCTCTCTCATGACCAACCTCGAGTAATTTCCCCTGCGTCAACGCCAATGTTTCTTGAGTCTCTATCAGTGTGCTCTGAGCAATGTATGTTTCTTCTAGCATGGACATCATGTGCTGTTCAAAATGGGAATCTGCATCTGGTTGTGAAGGGCAGCCAGATCCATGGTTTTCACTTCCTCCTGAAGGGCCTTCTTCACTGATGGTGGGCATCACCTCACACAGCATTTTGGAACAAAAACACAGGACTAGTCATTATACAGAAAATACAGGTTCCCACAAATCTACAACTTTATGAGTATCTGTAGCTAATAAAGGAAAGCTGACAATCTCTTTATTCACAGATCTGTTATTCTTTGGATGCAAATACTCTGTGAAGATACACCCAGGCACCCATTAAATGCAGAAAGCCACCACATGAAGACACTAAAGAAGACAACAACGCTGGGAAGATGTAAGGCCCAAAGAGAGCTACTTATTTCTCCTATAAAGAATACAGCAAACCATGTGAGGTTTTGTTTGCAAAAGCAAACTTTTTAGTTTTGAAAACAAGTGCGCTTCTGTTACCTAGTTTTTTCTATTTCCTGGTAGGGGCCCATTCCACTCAATCCTTTTTCAGGAAAAGCACAGAAGCAGTATACAGCCAGGAAAACTGACAAGTACAAAATCCAACAGGCATCTTACATATTACATCTTATTGACTGTGTGCAGTCAGCTCCTGGGAAGGCCTGCCTGAATTCTTGGGCTTAATTTAGTGAACACAGAAAGGAATTGGATTTGCTATGGCTCAAGAGAGATGTTTTTCAAGGACTGCAGTGGCTGTTCAGTCAACCTAACTTAAGTTTACAGCTAAAAAAAAAAAAAAAAAAAAAGAAGGCTTCACAATGGAAATACAGCAGGTCAGTACAGTGGAGAATGGTTAGGAAGGAAAGGTGAGAGGTATGATCATGAGAGGCTATTAAGTGTGTCACATAGACAGACGGGCCTAATGAGGGCGACAGGGATCGCTGAAGACTTCCAGGTAGTACCCCAGGCAGGTGCGACCCTCCAACAAGAGATCCCCGCGACCGCACACCTGACCACAATGATTTCTAGCACCTCACCGGGTGCTGTACAAGTTCTGGCCCCACTTACCCTAGAGCTTTCCAGGACGCGGCCATACAGGCGAGTCCACAGTGCCATCACTGGGGTCTCCTGGGCAATGTGCAGTGGTTTAGAATCCGTCCCTCGAGACCTAGGGGGTCCTGCTAGCCGCGAGCAGGACCAACCGCCAGCGCAGGACCAACCGCCAGCCAAGCGCTGAAGCTTTGCCCCCGCCCACGCCCACCCCCGGGTGACATTTGGCGGGTGGCCCCTGGCCAGCTCCAACCTTCCTGCCTCAGTCTCCCGCTCCTTACCTTGCGCGCAGTCTTTTTAAACATTGCGATATAAAACAAAAACCATTCTTAAAAAGCAAAAAGGGTTCAGTTGACTTAAGAGTTGTCACCACGAAGAAAAAATAACCCCAAGCGATAACACACGTGAATTAGCTCAGTTTAGCTGTTCTGCAGTGTGTACACATATCAAAATATGTGACAGACTGGGCGACGTGGCACACACCGCTATTCCCAGCTCGTGGGAGGCTGAAGCAAGAAGAATGCTGTGGGTTCAAGGACAGCCTGAACTACACAGCAAAAGTGTCTCAAAAATCCAAGGAACAAAACAAGTAGCATGTTACCAATCATAAATATAGACAAATTTTGATCCTGCCAATTAAAACTTGAGGAGGGGAGTCTGGGAGTGTGTCTCAGTGTCAGGGTGCCTGACTAGAGCGTGTGTGAGGGTCCTGGTTCTGTACCCTGCACCACAGAAAAGTGGGAGGAAACATCACATGGAGAAATCACCAAACGTGGGTCCCTTGATTCTTCATGCCATCAGGTTTGCATCATTTATCAAGCAAAGCACCTTCTGGGCACCCAGCAGTCACCTAGTGGAGAAAGGGACTCTGTGGTCAGACACAGACCATGCCAACCACCAAGTAATGAAGACTGGATGGTCTGTGGAGACTCTGGTGACACCACAAGCTTGATAACCTAAAGAAACAGTGTCCCTTCAGTTTTGTAGGTCTGGATCTGGCAAGGGTCTTCCTGAGCTAAAGACATGGTATGGCCAGGCTGCCTTCCTTTCTGCAGGTCCAGTGGAAAATCCACTTCCTCCTGCCTCCAGTTTCTGGAGGGACTTGTGGATTCTGTCCACTTTCCTCAACTTCAGAGCTGGCAGTAACAGTCAAGGTCCTCTCCCATCCCACCACGGTGACTCTGAGCTCTTAGCCTCCCTTTGCTTCTTTTTCATTTTTATAGGTACTGGGGATCGAACTCATGACTGCCTGCTTGCAAGGCAGGTGCTTATGCCACTGAGCTAAATCCCCAGGCCCCTCCCTTTGCCTCTTGAAGACCCCTTTGGATTATGCTGGGTCGACTCAGAAATTTCTAATCTCTGTTGGACAAGTTTGTTTTCAGCAGGGTGTGGCAGCATACATCTATAATTCTAGCTGAGGCAGGAGGATTGCTGCAAGGCGAAGATCAGCCTGGGCTAGCTACATAGAAGTTCAAGGCCAGCCTGAGCTATGAAAAAGACCCTGTCTCAAAAAGCAAACAGACAACAAGATATATTTTCGTTATGGTAAAACACACACAAAACTTCCCATCTGAACCATGTTCAGGTGCACAGGTCGGGGGCATTAGGTATGCTCACACTACTGACCAGCTGTCCCCATGTCCACCTCCAGAATGTCCTCATCTTCCCACACTGAAGCTCTGCCCCCTTAACCACTGATTCCTCAGCGCCCTCTTCCTGCTTCCATCTGCAACCGAATTCTCCCGTGCCAGACAGGACATTCTCACAAATCCCGGGGATGACAACGTGGGCTTCTGTGGGAAGTCACTGTTCTGCCTGGAAAAGCGCCCTGGGCCTACTGAGTCTCACAGTGCACCTGAGAGGTGGGATTTCCTTATTTACTAGGAGGAAGTTTCATTAACAGAGAAATTAACCACATTAAATCTAGATGGCTTGTTTATGGGAAATCTTACAGAGCAGAAATGACAACTGAGCTGTCTGGCTCATGGAATTTTTAAATGTTCATTGAATAAGCACTATTGTAACAATGATAATGTTGGGGGAAAAACAACCTCACCACGCAGCCTGTGTTTACTGTACTTGAATGACTATATTCCTTACATGGCATCACCTTCACAATCATAATCAAAAGCAAGGGGTCTGTTTCCGTGGCAGAAAATGTCAGCAGAAAGAAGAAAAAACAGAATTCACAACACTGGATGGAAGCAAGGACCTGAAGGCATCTTGGTGTCTCCAGAAAAGCCAGTTACTCAATGTATCACTGTATCACATTGCAATACATGCTCAAATCATTCCATGCAGTTGTTGCTTTGAGCTGGGTCTTGTTATGTTGCCTAGACTGGCCTGGATTGTCTGGGCTCAGGCAAGCCTCAAAGTGCTGAGACCAAAGGCATGTGACACTGTGCCTGGCCCATCCAGCTGGGAAGGTGTGTCCTGGCACTTGAGCATGTGAAATGCTTCTAGCAAGCACCTGACTAGAGAGAGAGAGCTGTCTTGTCTTTTGGTTTTTGGAAGAGGAGGACTCATTATCTAGTTCAGGCTGGCCTCAAACTTTCAGCAATTCTCCTGTCTCAGCTTCAAGAGTGTGCCACTTCAGCTAGTTGAGGTGGCTGTTTTTAATCCTCCTCAGATAAAGAAGCTGAATATCTGCAAGCCAGTGTAGGAGGCAAAGCACCTGCCCACTCTACCAGCGTCTGCAGGGTGCAAGAGCACAGGGCACAGCTCTGGGGCACCTGTGTTCTCTTCTTGGTTACACAATCTGTAGCTGGAGGTAATAATGAAGGTGGAACCAGCTGTTCCCCACCAGAGCCCTCCCTCACCAGTCATTCCACATGCAGGGCCAGCACCCGGGACATGCTCCGTTAACTTCCCATGCAGTCCCTTTCTGGACATCTTTGGTTGAACAAGGACCAGCAAAAGTATCTTCCACACACAAGACAAGAAGTTTCACCTGCTCTCAGTTTTCCTTCTCTGTGTGCACTTCAGAGCTGCCCAAAGTGGCCATCAGAAACTGCAGTGCTTCCCAGAGACCCTTGCTGCCTCCATACCATGAAATCACTCCTCATGGCTGGGCCTCAACAGAGAAAAGCCTGCTAACCTCTGACCTCCAGCTTCCAGTGGCTGAGAGCACAAAGGGGCCCAGAAACCCAGTCCCAAGTTGTTCCTCAGACTAAAGGGGTCCTTGAGATCAAACTTAAAAATTACAGATGTATGACTCAGCAAAATGGAAAGGGACCTGTCCACTTTGTGTCCGGGGTCTGCAAGGCCCCTGCCACATCTATGGTCACAGAGCAAATGGGTAAACAGTGGGCAACGGAAACACTGTTGCCATATATCCCGTATCATGTCACACCCGAGTTCAAGATCTGCCCACCCTCTCCAACAGGTAGCAGCAGCTTCACTGGTAGACAGTTCCCTTCTCCCACCCCCAAACTATAGTCATACATGAGAGTCTCCACACTGGGGACCCCTTGATGCACCAAATTTTTTGTGGGAGGAGAGATGGACTCTCAGGATTGTATCACACAAGCAACACTGGCAAAGTTCTGCTATCAAGGTGGAGGCAAGGCAGGGCACTGGGGATGCTGCTGCCAGCTCAGAGGCTGGAGGGGCTTTTCAGCTGGGCTTCCACAGGAGGGCCCAGCAGGCAGGGTATGAGTGGAACCAGGTTTTCAAGCCCTGCTCCTGGCTCCTGCTGGCAGGAAGAGTCAAGGGACCTCACCAGACAGCAAGGACAGTGCCCAAGGCTCAGGGTTCTGGGCCTGTCCCTACACCAGGACTATGGCTGCAGTAAGCTACTCTCAGCTCCTGCAAACGACACGAACATAAAAGCGTTGCACAGCTATGATTTGCATTGTGCTTCCCTTGCTTCCAGGTATAACAGAGTGCCTTTTCCCAAAGGTTCAAAGCCCTCTTGTGCTGGCACTGGGTCTGGGAGCTGCCCAGGAAGGAAGGTCTGCCTGTCCACCTTGGAGGGAGCACCAGCTCCCTTGCCACTGCCCTGGGGGTTTCCAAAGAGGTGGCTAGTCCCTCATCCATGATTGTTCCTTTTAAAGCAGACTGGACAGAGCCCAGGGCAGGTCCAGGAGCCAGGCCCTTGCTGCAGACACCAGCTCCTCTGCCCAGGCTCAGCACTTCCTTCAGGCCCTGAGGTGTGTGAGCTGAAGGAAACTAATGCCTCTGACTACACGGCAACCACTGAAGGATTCATTTTGAGAGCTGCAGCTCAGAAGTGATTGCTAAATATGGCATTTTCTGTTCTGATTGGAGACTTCCTTCAAATAAAGATTTGAGGGTGCATTTCAGGTGATAAAACGTGCCCTTGAGAAGGGGACTTTGCTTCACCTGAGAAGCAGCAGGATGGCACATTGGCTGGAGGGTGGTCCAGGCCAGGTCTCTCACGGAATGCAGGACACTGACACCCACAAAGGCACTTTCAACTCCAGAACAAAGTGACCAAGTATCAAAGCAAATCACACAGCAAATCAGTTAAAAAAAAGAAAAAAAAAAGGTTTATTCGGAATATTTGATTTTTAAAAAATCATACGTATGAGGTATACTACAGAAATCCAGATACAGTAAGTTGTATGTAAAACCCAACCTAATAGTGGGAAAAGCAAGACTGCAGAAATCACTTCCAGAGAGAAAACATGCACATCAGGACCACCAAGTGTCCCCAACAGTCATAACATTTCCGTGGATCTGTCCCCCAATCATGTGCACCAACAAGACTGGCCCTGGTGTCTCAGGAAGGACAGGTATTCCCCCTGCAAGTAGCAGGCAGTATGGACAGAGTGGCTTAAAGAGACCACCGTGACACAACGGGAAGGAACACTTGCTTGTTCCCAGTCGTATTTTAGCCAACTCAATCACATTTTAATAACTAAACACGAGATTTTGGCAAAATGCACAACCCCCTGATGAGGGCGTCCTTCTGGCAGTCCACAGCAAGGTACCTGCCTCCCCAAACTGGGGGCCATCCAGCCACACATGTCACCCCCCCTGCATGAGCAGACAGCCATGGGAGCAGCCCTGGGTGGCACCCAGGCCCAACACTAGCTTTAAGCTCACCTCTAAGCCCAGGGCCCTTCACTGTGGGCCAGTGTGTAAGACAAGCAGTGAGGGAACAGTGGAAGGACGTGGTGACACCTAGCAGGGCAGGAGTCAGGGGTCAGGAGAGCCATGGAGATAGGGATAAGACAGGGGCACAGGAGAAAGCCTCGCACAACCTTGGGTCACATGGGATGAGATGGGGGGGTGTCCCACCTGACAGGGGAGCCAGCACCCCTCCAGGGGTTCCCACCAGTCTTACTCTTGACCCGGGTCTTCCCTCCACTTCCGAACACTGCTGCCCCACAGAGCTTATGTAGTCAGCCACTCCCAGAGCTGCAGACATGGACATCAGTCCTGGGAGACCCAACAGTCATGACAAACATACAGACAACATGCACTGCTGACCTCAGGAGAGCCACAGGTACCTGAAGTGGCTACACATGACAAGGCAATTTGGCAAAAAAAAGAAAAAAAAAAAGTTCAAAAAC